TGCTGCCTTGGAGATGGCTCTCACAGAGAAATTGACACCAGCCCATCGTGGCAAAATTGGAGGAAGAGTTGACTCTCGCCATCGCCGCACGACTTGAGGAGACGATCACCGCACGTGTGCAGGAGCAGCTTGCTGCGTATGTCCTCCATGGGTACTTCATTTCCCGATGCTCATCCTCCATCGTGTGCATTTTCAACCAAAAATTGGATTGGTACTTGACTTGTGTTTCTAAAATCTTAGTCCTTATTGGAATTTACCGTATTTGTAGGTCCAAGAGTTAGCACAAAGGGCAGCTGTGCCGAAGCCACTATCGAGGTCACACTCGAGGTGGCATCTATTCATCCCGAATCCACAAAGGATGATCGATATGGCTTGTGGGTTGAGGTAGATGAAGGTCTAAGGCTAGTGGCCCATGGATCAGCTTCATGAAGGGGCTTCAACCATCCACAATGTGCCTTTGGATCCTAACTTGGTCAAAGTAGTGGTTGAAAAGGTGGTTGACGCCGCGGCTAGTGTCCCTATCCCCACCGAAGAGGTGCAGACAGTGGGCCAAGCCCTTCGACCTTCATTAGTTGGCCCCGACATTTAGTTAGGTCAATCATGGCAAAGGTATGTATATGTATGGTTATAATACATCTAACACATAAATAAATTGATTTATTGTTTATGATTATATTTTATAAAATATGTAGGATGTTCTAGCAGCCAAAAGACTTGGGTAAAGCTATTGTCACTCCTTCGCATCTAAGGAGAAGACACCAGCTGTGGAGACTTCTCCAAATCCCATTTTTGATCTCTTGTCTCTTTCCCCACAATTATATATGCAGTCATTCCAAGTTCCATGGGATTGTACATTATTTGGGATGGCTTCTAGCAATATCCCCCTCTACATTTCCCACACCGATGCCCCGGAGATTGGGATGGGCAATCAATGTCTAAATATAGTCTGTTTTACAATTTTGGACATTGTAAGTTCATATCTTTCATGACTCTTTTCATTTTAGTAAATATATAAGCTATAAGTTCACTTAAATTGGCATATTTTAGGATGATGCACGAAATGATAGTGGAGCAGGGCATTGGTCACGTGTATGGATTCTTCGAGCCTCAATCCATACAAAAGTCCGGGAATAAGCGTGATCAAATTGTCGGCTACATCCGTAATTGGATGACTGTCTCTAAAAGAGATATTTACCTTGGAGCATACCATCATTCGTAAGTTATCCCAGCCTCTTCCTGGTTTTACACAAGTTTTTTTAATAGATTCTAATCATGTGTATATACGTAAACCACTCGGCAGCCTATTAGTTATTTGTCCAAAGCAGTAATCTTGTGTGTTGGTTCTCGCTCATTGGGAAGAAAACCGGACATGGAGCTAAAAAATATTGTAAACGAGTAAGTATTTATTATATTATGTCTAAACATCTTGATTATTCTATTTCTAATCCCCTTATTTTCAATATATAGTGCTTTAAAGGTTTGTAGTACATTAGATGGAAAACACACAAGTAAAAGCACAGACTCCAAATTGGAATTTTATGAAAGTAAGTAGCCTTTATATATATTATACTATCTATTAATTTACGTTCAAATTTAATAGTTATTTTTAATATATATACTCATTTTTAGTGTAACAAACAAAATGGAGGCTACGAGTGCGGCTACTATGTAATGTATTGGATATGGCTCATCATTTTTGGTTGCATTCGGGATAGTTGGGACGAGGTAAGTTGACATTTGCTATTATATTCAATTCCTTTATTTTTATTGCTTAGGGTTTACCATTCTATTATTGTGAACTTCTTACGTGCATTTAAAGATATAGAACCTTTGCCTATGGATACAATAGACATGGTTAGAAACAAATGGGCGTAAAGGTTTGTGCAAGTAGTTAGGAATAATAGGATTGATTGATAATTTTTGTGTATTATGTACATAATGTGGCCGGACCGAGATTGTAAGTGTATTGTGTAAATATATAGTGATTATGTGAATCTGGCCGAGATTGTGTATTGTGTATATATTATGTATTGTGTAAATCTGGTCGGATCGAGATTTATATAGCAGGTCGTGTATGGTAGCACAAAAACAGTACCAAAATTTAAAAAAAAATGGATATTCTACGCTCTGTTATTGCATTAACCGACGTTGAAACGTCTTTCGCTTGAGCGAAACGTCTGGTTGCGTGAGCGAAACAAAGCACCCGAGCGCCCCCTTTGTTTGAAGGCTTCGTCGCTCAAGCGAGTACACCGGCCGCTTGAGCGATAAAGGACTTTCAACGTCTAGTTATCCAATAAGCGACGTAGAATTTACTCATTTCTACGTCGCCTTTGCATTAACCGACGTTGTGACGCTCGGTCGCTTGAGCGAAAACTCGGTCGCTTGAGCGAAACAGCAACCGAGGGTCCCTTTGGTTTGAAGGCTTCGTCGCTCAAGCGAGTACACGGGTCGCTTGAGCGACTTCAACGTCGGTTAGTTCAATAACCGACGTAGATGTCTACCACTTTCAACGTCGGGTATGATGAACCGACGTAGAATCCTTTGACATTCAACGACGCCTGATTCAACGACGTCATTGGAACCGACGTTGAAAGCCTTCTACACCCGACGTTGAATGCTCCTTCTGCAGTAGTGACTATAGATTAGAATATCGTCAAAAAAGACGATAATAAACTTTCGTAAATGGGTTCGGAAGAGTCCGTTCATGGTGACTTAAAATATTGTTGGTGCATTGGACAATCCAAAAGGTAGCACACGAAACTCATAGTGTCCATCGTACGTACGAAAAGTCGTCTTGTGTATATCATCCGGGATCATGCGAATTTGATGATAGCCTTGTAGAATATCCAATTTTGAAAACCAAACTGCAGCACCCAATTCGTCGAGCAGTTTGTCAATTGTTGGAATCAGAAAGCTATCTGGAATAGTGATCACATTAAGTGCGTGATAATCAACGCATAAACTCCATGTGTGATCCTTTTTCTTTACTAAGAGAACCGGGGAAGAAAAGACATTGTTGCTCGAACGAATTTCACCCTAGCCAGCATACGATTTACTTGAGTCTAAATCTCTTGTTTTTTAGCATAAGGGTAACGATAGGGACGAACCTTCACTGAGACTGGGTTAGGGACAAGCGATATAGTGTGGTCCGTGGGACATTTTGATGCAAGTGAAGTGGATTCCTCAAAAAGGACGTGATATTGTTGGAGTAGGGAAGACACATCTGGGTGGATATAATCGGAGATGGATGAGGGTTTGGTATGGCTAGGTGCCACCAGAGAAAGATGAAAACATTATGAGATTTGTCCCCAGTGTGATAAATGATGGAGTTGATGGATTGAAATAGCCATGGGTTGAGGTTGGGTATCTCCTAGAAGCTTCACCATTTCTCCATTCCATGTAAACTGCATAGTCAGCTACTCATAATTGGTTAACACTGGGCCAAACTTTGTAACCATTGCACTCCTAACACAGCTTCAGGCCCACATAGGTCAATCAAATAAAATTCCACCAAAAAAACACTACAAGAAAATCTTATATATACCGACAGATATTTACTGACGAATATGTATCCGTCGGAAAATAAAAAATAAATGATTACTGATGGAAATTATCGACGGATTTAGAATAGTTCTGGAATTTGATCTTACTGACGGATATATTCATCGGTAAATGAACAATTAATTACCGACGGATATATCCATCGATAAATACATCGATAAATGAATAATTAATTATCGATAGATATATTCGTCGGTAAATAAACAAATAAATTACCGATGGATAAATTCGTCAATAAATGAACAAGTAATTACTAATGTTTATATCCATCGGTAAATTAATAATTTTGGTAAATGAACAATTAGTTACCGACGGATATACGGTAATTATTTGTTCATTTACCGACAAATTTAAAATATATTTTTAAAAATCAATATTAAATTAAAAAAATTAAATATTTAAAATTATATAATAATTACTTAATTTTAAATATATTCTAATAAACACGACACACTTTCACCTGTCGAGTGTGCCCTCACATCCAACATATAAATATATAACTATATAAATATATTAAAATATATAAATATATTTGTATTTATATATTTTATATTTATATATTTACACGTATATATATTTATTTGTATATAAATATAATTTATTTGTAAATTATTATTAGAAAAACTTAATAGTTTAATGGTTGAAGTATCATACTCCAACTCTTAATCTGATTCTAAAAATTATATAAAATTTAATATAAAAAAAATATAAAATAGTTCAATGGCCAGGTAATAATGGTGGTCGCATCCTTGCGCGAAGGTGGTGGCGGAATTGAATTGAGGTGTATAGAGGTTTGGAAGAAATTGCGATAGAACCAAAATTATCTTCCTGCAATTTTACCAACTCTGCTGTTTCGGAAACTGTAACGGGTTGAAAAGCGTGAACTTCGCGTTGAATGTCGGGTAGCAATCCAGAGATGAAACACTCGAGTCTAGGCAGGGTTCAAAAAATTGGGTTATGGCAAAAACTCAATCCAAAGTGTTAGACCCATCAGACCGTGGACAGTCTAGACGAATATAGAGCATGACTTTAGGTGATGGGGACTGTGTATGTATGGTGGAGGGTTTGGTTTGGAGGGCTGCAAATGGGACAGGCCATCGCTTGTTGAGGCAAACCACTTCCTTAATCAGAAGATCTATGGAGACTTAAGAAGTCATTGAAAGCACCCAATGATAAAAGATGTAGAAGAAAAAAAGAATTTGGTATTTCAAGTACCAACAAGGCAGTTAGGAATAATTCTAAATTATATTCTCCCTTTTTCCCATGTTTCTTACAACATTAGATATAAGCAAATCTACCACGTAACAGAATTCCATTTTAACAAATTTTAACTGAAGTTTGTCTAAAGTTTTTCTTTATGATCTATTTACACCTTGAGTTATTGGTGTTACTCGACCCATACATACACGTTTTGCATTCCGCGGGACATTCTTTTGAGAATGCTCTTCACTGATTGGTTTTTCCCTCTAATCCGTATAGGGAGATTGTACTTTGCTTTGATTTACCAGAAAGGAAATTCAGGGAGATACTCTTGCCGAATAATATTTACTATACAAATTCTCCGAACTTCAAGTTGCGGATTCTTGGAGGATTACTCTCCCTGTGTAATTTTTGTCGCACAGAGAATGGACAACAGATGGACCAAACAGTCGAAATATGGTCAAGAGTACGGAGATCATACATCATCGAGTAAGATGACTAGTTTGGATTTCTGTGACATTCCTTCTTGTAGCAATGTGTCACCAGTATGCTACACTGAATCTGGTGATATCTTTGGAAATAATCGCGCTGCTTTGCTGGTGAAATGGAATGAAGATGGACAAGTGCAAGAACAAAAATCCCATGACCTACCATTTTTCCAACCATTGGTTGTGTATAGAGAGAGTTTATTCAGTATATGATATGTAATTCAAATTGTCACTATTGCAATATTTTGCTATATATATATATATATATATATTATATTTTACAGTGTGGCACAATAATGGTTGTGTAGTTTACTATCATTTCCATTATGGTTTTGTTTGTTACCTGGAGATTTCAAGATAAATATCTGATCATTGTCAGTATCAAGTGATCATTGTTATATGGTTGAAACTTTATAGGCTATATTATTACCCACACCAATGCAGCCAGATCTAACATTGTATGCCTCTAACTCACTTTATTACTATCGTCTCTTTTTTCTTTTTCTTTTTTTTAATGTGTGCTTTAAAGGTTTATAACCTATTAAATGATACTTTATTTTAAATTTGATGTTATAAATTTACAAAAATATATATTTATTTATCATTATTTTTATATATTATTTAATTATTGTTATTATTATTATTACTATTTATTAATATTTGTTCAATCATGATTAGACTACCATTAAACAATTAAACCTTTAAATAATAAAAAAAATTAAATAAAAATAAGATTGCTAATCCCTTATGAAATTAATATTATATATGTATCAACAATAAAAATTATATTTTTAAAGTTTGATTAACATGTGTATAAGAATACAGAATAAGAATATCATTTTATTTTATTATTAATTAATTTATTATTATTATTATTATTATTATTATTATTATTATTATTATTATTATTATGTTAACTTACTTACTCATTTTTTTTCACTTATGTAACTTTCACATATTCATAATTATGTATATTTAAACAATTTATCTAATTTGTGGTCCTTAAGAAATTTAAATAAAGAAAACAATATATTAATAATAATAAAGAAATTTAAATAAAATATCATAAAAAGCTTTATTATATTATTATAACAAAAATAACTATTAACACTTTTTTAATAGAAAAAAAATATGAAAAATAAAAGTTATCTTAAATTAGGATCACGTTGTTATTTTCTCTCTCTCTCTCTCTCTCTCTCTCTCTATATATATATATATATATATATATATATATATAAATAAATCTATGGAGTATATAAAAAAACAGTAAAAAAATAATAAATATAAGATATAAAAATATAATCAATTAGAAAGAAAATAAAAAAAATAATTTTATATTTTGTTATGTGAGTGAAAAAAACATTTAGAACTATATTTTAAATGAGAAAAATAAAAGTAATTAATAGTCTTGATAAACTATATTTTGAACATAATTGTTTATGTTGAGTTTTTTGTTTTATTTAGATTAATAAATAATTTTTTAATTCAGATAGTATTTTAATTAAACCTAAAAATATAATAATTCAAACTAAAATACAATTCAACAATTAATAAAAAGTCAGTTTTTACCATGAATTTTTCGCTTATTAAGTTAATAAACACATTTAAAATATTATTTTAGCCTTGAAGTTGAAAATTAATTATGAATTTGAATATTCTTTAATTAGTCAATATAAATTTATTGAAATTAAAATATTCTTATAAACGACTAAAATTAAAAGGGTAAATTTTATAAGGGAAATTGTTGAAAATATAAATTATTGGAAATATAAATTATTGAAAATATAAATTATTAGAAATATAAATTATTGAGAAATATAAATTACTAAGATTAGTACAAGAAATTAACAAAAGGAGTGACCCAAATTACAAATGAAAAAGTTTTTCTCATCTTTGTAGTGTCTTTTATATTTATTTAATTTTATTTATACTTATTATATTCTTTAATGGCTTAAAAAATAAATTTTAAATTAATATCTTTTATCTTTCTTAGTAAACATAATATTCTTTACCACTTTGATATTATTTTTAATTTCCTTTCAATATTATTCATTCTTGACTTTCTTGACATTTTACTTTATTTTATCACTATTCTTTCATTTTTCTCTTTTCCTTTATGTTTAATCCTCCTTCTTCTACCTTTAATCCTTTATCTTTAATCTCTTTCTTCTACCTTTAATACTCAATCTTTTCATCTTCTTCTATTTTTAATATTTGATCTTTCCATTTCCTCTATTTCTTTTTGTTTGACACTTTCTAAATCTTTCTTTTTAATTCATTTGTATATAACAAAATATTCCTTAAAAGAATATGAAACATACCTTACTAGATAAAAATTCTCTTAACAAAATTCCAATCCTTTTATAACCCTTTATCTCCTTTAAACATAAATTTATCAATTTCATGCCCATAAAAATTATAAAGTTATTATATTTTGACATTATAAAAAGACAAAAATATTCATTCAACAATTTAATTTAGATTTTTATTTTTTTATTTATCTATCTTATTTCATTCTCTTATCAACCAAAAAAAAATATTTTAAGGTTTTCAATAAGATATTTGTAAAAATGAGTTGGCAAAAATCTTTTTCTAAAATTATATTAAAATGATTGTTATCATATTTTCATCATCATTTCCAAAGTTTCACATCATAAATACAAAATTTCAGTAATAAATGCCCCCAAGAACAATCATAGTACAAACTGCTATTTTTCAAGCTTGTGGGTTTAAAACTTAAGCCTAATTACTTCAATTTTGAGTTCTTCAAAAAAATAATATTTCTAATCCATTTCCATTTCTGTTGTATACCAAATGTTTCTCTTTCTTATTCTTTTAGGCATTCGTATCTCTCTACTAAACTTCCCATATTACTCTCCCGAACCCTATAATTTTCCTTGTTTCCTTTCTTTCCTTACTACTATAATGGCTTCTTCCTCGTAAAATATTTCCTCAACCGCTGCCCCGCCCCCAAGTTTCTAACTTACTGCCATTCCCTCAAAACCTCATCGAATTAAACGGGAAGATGTTTGCTCCCATACTAGGTCTGATGAATCAAAAACAATTTGCGAGACTCAGGTATATACCCTATTCTATTAACATATGTTTATGGAGGTCCATTAAGCACTTTCTTTGTAAATTCAATTTATGATTTTCCTAAAGAAGGAAATGTTACAATCTAAGCAGAAAAAATTCGTACTGATTTCATCAGATGGTCATTGAAAGTCTATATATAGGACTAGTTCTATCTAAAGAAGTCTTCTTATCTCAAATGACTACATAGGGTTAGTACCAAATTTGGAGACCAATGGAAGAACATAGGAGTTTTTTTATTTAATCTACCTCTCCCACGACATGTCTCATCTTGATATGTTCATGTTTCTACTAGTTGTCCTCTCAAAGACCTCAACGCCATGGATCTGTCTTATGATTTAGTTGCACTCTCATCGATATTGTTGCAGTCTTAAACTTAAGAGAAATCCCTTCAGATGACGAGCTCGAAGTCAAGATTGGAAAGGAAAGAAAAGTATATGGCCATTTTTTTCTATCGAGCACTTAGTCGATGACGCCAATGTTACAGTGACTAACAAGGAACACATAGTCTTCCTAGTGTACCGGCTCTACACCCAAATATTCTACCCCGTTCGATACAAGTCTCCTACCACTCCTTCAACCCATATTTATTACTTGAAGTCTCATAAACTTAGCCGGAATCTTTCAAGGTCTCTATAATTTATCGAGTTGTGACTAGTGTCGATCTTCGAATCTTTACTTCCTTCAACTTCGATCTCGCCAGATCCAATCCTTTTTTATCCACTCGAGGGCGTCCGACTAACCTCTCCATGTTCCAGAGCGTTCAAAGCCAATTACACTCAAAACAAAATGTATCTAAAGGTTATTTTTCAATAGAAAAGTTTTGAACGTTCTCTTACTGTGTTCACCAATAATAAATAAACAACTATATATCATTATATTAATAATATAACTATTCAAGATAATTGTATAAATGCTTCCTTAAATTAATGAGAATAATTAAGGTGTTAATAATTATGAATTATAATTACAGGGAGGGAAAGGGTTTGGCTGTTAACTAAGGTAATTAAGATTTTTATATTATAAATACATTATAATAAATATATTTATGTATAATATTCAATAAACAAGATAAGAATTCATATATTTAATATAAAATTTAAATTTACATCTTGTATTTAATATAAAAAAATTTAATAGTTATAGTAATACTCATAATAATAATAACAATACTGTTATTAAAGATAGTTCTATACAATCTATCTATTGTATGTTAATAATTAATATCCTATTCTTTAATTTATATTATTACTAAAAGTTTTTTTTTTACTTTTTTATATAAAAAATATGATAAGATTGTATATAGAAAAAGTTTAAATAACTTTATTTTTATTAACTATTAATAAATTTACTCTTCATAACAATTTATAGATACGAAGAAAATAAAAAAACTTTACATTTGAAAAATCATTATACGTATATTAGAATAATAATTTAATGTATATGCACACTTTACATAATTTTATATTTTCATTTAACTATTATTAAAATAAATAAAAAGTAATTGAATAGTAAAATTGGAAATATATCATAATAAAAGCTTTTAAGAATAATTTTATTGAAAATTAAGAATCAAACTACTATTTCAATATATATTTTTTAAATTACATTAAAAAATTGTGATTTGGGTGACTATTTCAAACTTATTTCACTTAAAAGTAATAATTAATATAATTTTTGTATTAAATTGTCATGAATTCATCCTATTATAACGTTATCACCTGCAGTTAATCGATGAATCCTCGTATTGGCCTGTATACTGAATCACCGCAGTAGGATCTGTTATCAGTCTTCTGCCCTTAAACGTTGACTCACAACCCAACATCGTTACACCCTTCAATGTTTATAAATTTATGTTGATTTATTCAAACCCCACACAAAAATTACCTATTTGAGTGTCAGCTAAATACTATCACTACTCCTAGATTTTCTGCAATTCCCATGTGGATGAATGTTACGTGTTAACTATTTATATTGTAGACTTGCACACTGTTAACTGCAACTCTTCGTTTTAGTTCATTGTGTATTGACTCACTTAGTAACTTACTTTTTTTCACTCTATTCTGTTCTTTGTTAACAATGAACGCTCTAGCAGCCACCAATCGCAACTTTCAACGTGCAGCTCGTATTCTCGGTTTGGATTCCAAGCTTGAGAGGAGCCTTCTCATACCCTTCAGAGAAATCAAGGTCTGTTACCCTTCTCGTGTTGTGATTAAAGAAAGTGATGACCTTTTTATTCAAATATTAGTGAAGTTTGGGCTTATATGTTGTTTGTGTCTGTCTGATTGATAGGTTGAGTGCACAATCCCAAAAGATGATGGAACTTTGGTTTCGTATGTGGGATTCAGAATCCAACATGATAATGCTCGTGGTCCAATGAAAGGAGGAATTCGTTATCATCCAGAGGTTCCTTTTATTTTGTTTTATTTCCTCATCTGTATCGGCGAATTTTGAATTTGTGCTTTTACTAGTGTTAGTATGATTTAACTTTGAAGGGTTTTTGTCAAATTTTAAAATATTTGAAAAATAGGGGTTTACAATTTGTGGAGAATTATTGAGAAAAATCACATGTACTTGTTGCACACCAGGACCCCAATGGAAAACTGGAGTAGAGTATATGTAAAAGATGTAATTAATTATTTTGTTTTAAAACTTGTGTTTAACTACTTATTGTTATTAATTATAATTATTATTTTTGTGAACTTGTGTTTAGAAGAGACTTGCAATTTTATGTAACAATGTCATGTGTATTTCTATGTCTTTTTAGTAGCGGTTGCAATGACCACATCTACCTAAACCGATCTAAACCATATTTGAAATTCTATTATGTTTATTTATATGTTATTCTGTTGCAGTAAATTTGTTATGAAATTCTAAAAATGTGTTTCAAAAGGTGCCTTTCATCTGCTAAACCAATCATGAGATACATGCTGAACCCAATCATACGATACCTGCTGAATTCAATCATAAGATATATGCCTTAAAATTACGTTTTAAATGTTACCTTTTTCCATGTAGATCTGCCAAATCCAATCGCAAGATACATGCCGCCTTTCAAAATGTTACCTTGGCCATGTTTACTTTGTGAAATGTAATGGTTTTGTTTTGTGTGCTAAAATTATGTTCCTGATCATCTGCATGGCTTCTTAAGTTTTCCTTAGCTCATAATCAAATTCCATGAATGCCTTTGAAATTTTACCTTCCTATATGATCTCTGACTTCAAACAGGAGATACATGATACATTTTCTTTTTCATTTTGTAACTTAAACTTAGCATGTTATATTTGAGATGGTTTTCCTCCATCTGAGTTTGAGCAAAATTTCAAGAATACTAAATAAACCAGTGATAAACCATATTAACGATGTTGGTTGTATCATAGCAATTCAACTCTAATTGGTTAAACTGTAGTATAGTACTCGAAATTCACATTTTGGTTGTCATAAAAGACACGTTACTCTAATGACCAGTTTTGCATTTTGATGTCAGGTTGATCCTGATGAAGTGAATGCTCTAGCTCAGCTGATGACATGGAAGACAGCTGTAGCAGACATTCCCTACGGAGGAGCAAAGGGTGGTATAGGCTGCAACCCTAGGGATCTGAGCCTGAGTGAGTTAGAACGTCTTACCCGAGTTTTCACTCAAAAGATTCATGATCTCGTCGGTGTTCAAAGGGATGTTCCTGCCCCAGATATGGGAACTAATGCCCAGGTACTGATAATAGCATTTTTGTTAATGATAGCATTTAATGGTTTCATATATGATATATCCTCTCATTCTTTCACTGAAACAGACCATGGCATGGATTCTTGATGAATACTCGAAGTTTCACGGTCATTCACCTGCAGTTGTGACCGGGAAGCCTATTGTAAGTATCAAATATTCATGCACTTACGTTATGTTCTTATAATGAGGAATTTGAGTTTAGGGTTGAAATTTGCTTTCGAATGTTGGAGGATCTTGGAGGATCGTTGGGAAGAGAGGCTGCCACAGGTCTCGGAGTAGTTTTTGCAACGGAAGCTTTGTTTGCTGAATATGGGAAGTCCATTTCTGATCAAACATTTGTTATCCAGGTAATATTTTACTGCCATGACATGATGATATAGTTTGTTCATATCTATCCCACTTTCAACATCTATTTGATGTGAATCACACCAGGGTTTTGGAAATGTGGGTACATGGGCTGCCAAGTCTATTTTCGAAAGAGGAGGAAAGGTGATTGCTGTTAGTGATATCAGCGGTGCTATCAAAAACTCAAATGGAATCGACATCCCTGGGCTTCTGAAATACAAGGATGATGTCAATGGAGGCAATGGAACCTTGAAGGGCTTCCCAGATGCAGAAGTAATGGATCCGAATGAGTTGCTTGTTCATGAATGTGACGTTCTTATTCCTTGTGCCTTAGGTGGAGTTCTAAATAGGTATGAATGTCTATGTCTTTGTTTTCACCAATTAAAATGAAAATTATCTGTTAAGGAATATTGACAATTAGTTTAGCCAAGTCGCCAATCCATTGAACTTTATTTAATGCACGTTAACGCTGATCCCTTGAACATGAGTCATGGGGTTTAATGCTACCATTTTTAAAAGTGGTTTTAGTTTTATCTTGATCTTGCAGACTAAATCCTCTTATTTAGTTTTATCTTTTCTACTATTTTTAATTACCTTAAGTTTGCTAAATTATTTTTGAAGGGAAAATGCTGCTGATGTGAAAGCAAAATTTATAATAGAAGCAGCAAATCATCCTACAGACCCTGAAGCAGATGAGGTAAGTTCATTGACGTCAGACATTATATATGATAATGTAATGACATAACATGTGATTCTTCTGCAGATTTTGTCTAAGAAAGGAGTTATCATATTACCTGACATCTATGCCAATGCTGGTGGAGTGACTGTGAGTTATTTCGAATGGGTTCAGGTAAACATGATCATCAAAATTGATGTTAAAAGTGGTATGTATGTATTTATTTGAATTAGTAAATATGGTTGTACGAATTTTGCAGAATATCCAAGGTTTCATGTGGGATGAAGAGAAAGTGAACCATGAGTTGAAGAAGTATATGACGAGAGCTTTCGGTGACATAAAGGCGATGTGTAAGATTCATAACTGCGATCTGCGAATGGGAGCTTTCACTCTTGGAGTCAACCGTGTTGCTCGTGCTACCCTTCTCAGAGGTTGGGAAGCTTAAGTCTCTTGCTGGGAGAATAAGATTTTTATAAGCTGTGTATACGTCCTCTAATTTTAATAAAATTAGTTTAAATTCATCTCAAATATAATCAATCATCCATGACCTGTTTTACCATCTTAACTTCGTAATATATTGTCCATTAAAATATCCTCTATTAGAAGCATGTTAATTGAAAAAATAACTGAGATTATTTAAGTAACTTCAAAGTTGACCACGATGGGTGGTATAAGCATTTTGTTTTTTCATATATCACCCTATAATAAACAAGAAATATCACATGACGAATGTAAATTTAAGTAAGACTATTGGAGTAACGTATATGAGCATGCTAAAATGGTATAAAGTCTTGAATACAAACCAAATACATATTCATTGCCCCTCTCCCCCAAAGTAAGAGAATATATTGGAGTCAACCCAGTAACAACAATTAATTGAAATAACAAATTACGTCTTTATTTTTCACTAAAACCTATATGCTATTTGGAAGATATTCTAACACTAATAATTAGATTATAACCAACTTTATTAATAACCCTTTTTTTTCCACTAATTTTTCTTTTTCAATTTTATCCCACACTAGTGTTAATTTGATTCTATATTTTTAAAAAGTAGAATCCAAAATTTTGATATTAAATAATATAATTATATTTTGTAATTTAATAATGTCATAAAAGAATATATTAAAGACTTAAAAAAGAAAGTGTTTTATTTTAGTAGAAGATCTGTGCGCACAAGACTATCTCCAAGAAACTGTATTAAGTGTTATATATTATCTGTTAGAATTATTTCTTGTAGCTGTATAATTTAAAGTGTGCTTTTAAAATTTAATAAATAAGATATTTCAATAAATAAGTTAGATAAGAAGGATGAAAATTCATCCCAACTAAGTGACTTTTTTAAGATCATATAAAGATTATACAAGGTCTCACCTCGATGAGTACTCCCAGTCATTTTTTATTTTAATAAGTACACTAATTTACTCTCAATTATTAACAAGTACATTAGGTTATTTCTGATTATCAATTTTAATTTTTTTTAGACTAAGAATATAATTTTTTTTTCATTTTTAATTACAATAATGATTTTAAGTATTACAATCATAAAAATAAATAATTTTTATAAAGAGAATAGATAATGAACATTCCTATCCAATGATTTTTTTAACTAGGAAAGGATATAAAGTTTCTCTGTTCACTCAAATAACTCTCACATAAAGTATAAACAATAAATAATGAATACTTTTAACTAGGACATTAATTTGTTCACTCAAATAACTCTCACATAAAATATAAACAATAAATAATGAATACAACTAGGAAATTAATTTGGGAAGGATATAACAATATTTTGTTCGCTTAAACCTTCTAAAAGATATCACTCACCGTAAAAATAGAATAAAAAGGCTAATATGATTACATTGTGTTGTATTTTTTTTAATCAAAGAGTTCTTCTATTAAAATGTGATTATGGAACTCTAGTCTTTATTATTTTCTAAAAATATTTTTTCATAATATGATATTCTTTTTGCATAGAGTGTCCTTTTAGTATGTATATTTTTTAGTTGTCTACTTTAAATACATTTTATGTAAACCTTTGTAACATATTACATATTTTCTATTTTACTTAAACATGAAAAATATTTCTTTCTACATATTTTACACAAATATGATATACTTAATATTCTTTATCTTTATTTGAAAAATTTTAATATTATTTATTATGTTATTATTTGATTCAGTATATAGTATATTTTCATTTTAGGATAATATTTAATTGTGATAGTTGTACATTATTTTTTTTTACACTATGATTTAATCAACCTATAATCAAATTTTTTTTAATATTTCAAAATATACTTCATAATTTATTTTAATAATTATTTTACATTTAAAAATCAACTGGGTCGATATATTATTATTAATTTTAATTTATTTCATGTAATACACTTAACACACGTCTTAAATACTTCAAAACTTAATTATAGTTGTTATTATTAAAATTATAACTTAGGTTTTTATTTTTAACAATTACTAGTGATTTTTAATACAATTTGGTGTTAATGTTCAATAGTTGATTGTTTATGCTTTTTAATAAACTATTGTAGTGATGGTCATTAGCAACAATTAAATTTAGCCTATCACACCGATTTAAGACTCGTCATTAATGAAGTTATCGTTGTATCCCTTTTATACAAGTGGTCTTGACCATTGATTTTGGGGGCCAAATAATATATTATTAATAAATAATAAATAAATATAAAAAGAAGAAAGAAGATGAAAGGGTAAAAAGATAAAATTGTAAATATATACTTAAATATATTAAATAATCATTAAGTATAAGGGAGACAAAATCATAAATTATATGAAAGTTACAAAACTGAGGAGGGGCTGAGAGGATAAAATTGTAAATATACAAGTAAATATATTAAATTTTCATTAAATTTGGGGGGCCAAAATCATAAATTACATGAGAGTTACAAAACTTTGGTGGGGCCACAACCCCCTCGGTTCCTAAGAAGATCCTACACTGCTTTTATACAATGACAGGGTCACACCCATCGTTGAAGCCTTGCGTCAAGCATGCATATGATGACAATTATAGTATTAACCGTCATTGTATTTTGAGTTTTAGGCTCTTTTCCATTTTTTGTGTATTCAAATACACAATCTAGTACAATATAGATTTCAGACATATTTATAGTACATACAAAATCATAAATATATATAATACTTATTATCTAATATTAGTTTTACTAAAATCCTATAAAATCATTATGAATCCTACAAGTATGATTAGTAACTATCCTAAATGTACAAAAATATTAAGTCAATTATCCCAAGTTCAACCATAAAGTCATAAAACTAAGTTATTTTAATGTACTAATCGTGTTGATGAAGTACATTGTCCATGTGGAACATTTGTATCCATGGAAGATGTGTCCATAAAAAATTGTGATATGGTAAATAAATTTTCATAAGTATCATTATGCACCTAATCATCTTTAAATAAATATTAATTGTATTACAGTAATGGATCTAGACCATTGATTTTGGAGGATCAAATAATATATTATTAATATAAAAGGATAAAAGAAGATAAAAGGAAGAGAGGATAAATTGTAAATATATAAGTAAGTATATTAAATAATCATTAAGTTTAGGGGTTTAAAATCATAAATTTCATGGGAGTTACAAATTGAGGGAGGGTGAGAGGATAAAATTGTAAATATATAAGTAAATATATTAAATAACCATTCAGTTTGGGAAACAAAAATCATAAATTATATAGGAGTTAAAAAATTTTGGGGGAACCACGACCCTTAGTTCCCAAGAAGATCCGTACTTGATCCTAACCTCTATTTATTTCCTGCTTGGATAATGGTTGTCATCTATTGTATTAGATAATAACTATACTCACATCCTCCAGATTGTTTGTTACACTATTTCTCAAAATATAGAAATTAAATTAGTTTTTTAGTAACAAAAATAAATATCATAGATTATACCTTTAGATGTAATCATGTGAGCTTTTGTAATCTTCAACTTGATCTATCGCTTATTATGTTATATCCGGAATAAACATTAATAATATTTACACTTAGTTAAAACACATATAAAAATATAACTATAATATAATAATTTTCTATACAAACAACCAAATTTAGTTATCAATCTACTATTTGTTTAAGGTATGGCTGTGACTTTTTGTGCAATGAACAAAACCATGCGATCGCATTGTCAACCATAAATATTACACGAATAGCTACGGGCAATAATTGTTGCATCAAAATATTACAATCATGAGACTTAAGATAAACTAGTTTCAAATATTGCATAGATACAAGACTCTAAATATTTGAAGAGAATCCTTGTGGGCCTTTCACATTGTTCAGACATTGACAAAAACTTGTTTTCTCCTTTTCGGACAAAGTATAACATGTTGGGGGCAAATCACTACTACAGATAAGGTTTTCCACGTCGGTTCTAGAAGGCCTTCAACGTCGGTTTTCACAACCGACGCTAAAAGTTACAACTACATGAATAGCTACAGGCAATAATTGTTGCATCAAAATATTACAATCATGAGACTTAAGATCAACTAGTTTCAAATCTTGCATAGATACAAGATATTTAACCGACATTGAAAGTCTGATTTTTCAGATCAATAATTTTTATTTATTTACAACCCCTTTACCTTACCCCTTTATTTATCTAGAAGAGAATTGTCACTGGCAGGATCATCGGTTCTATTTAACCGACGTTGGAAGTCTGATTTTTCATATCAATAATTTTTATTTAGAAGTCCCCCCTCTCTCTCCCTCTCTTTTATATTATATTTTTATTAAGTCTCCCATCTCTTTTATATTATATTTTTTAGAAGTTTAAGGCGACATGGATGGGGGTGAAAAAAGAAAAGAGAGGGATGGGGTTTCTCTTGCTTTTGGCATAGTGGGCCCCAACGGGAGGCCCGCACGACTGGCTATTAGCTCAGTGGTAGAGCGCGCCCCTGATAATTGCGTCGTTGTGCCTGGACTGTGAGGGCTCTCAGCCACATGGATAGTTTAATGTGCTCATCGGCGCCTAACCCTGAGATGTGGATCATCCAAGGCACATTAGCATGGCGTACTTCTCCTGTTTGAACCGGGGTTTGAAACCAAACGGATCCTCAGGAGGATAGATGGGGCGATTCAGGTGAGATCCAATGTAGATCCAACTTTCTCTTCACTCGTGGGATCCGGGCGATCCGGGGGGACCACTACGGCTCCTCTCTTCTCGAGAATTCATACATCCCTTATCAGTATATGGACAGTTATCTCTCGAGCACAGGTTTAGGTTTGGCCTCAATGGAAAAAAACGGAGCACCTAACAACGTATCTTCACAGACCAAGAACTACGAGATCGCCCCTTTCATTCTGGGGTGACGGCGGGATCGTACCATTCGAGCCTTTTTTCATGCTTTTCCCGGGGGTCTGGAGAAAATTGCAATCAATAGGATTTTCC